AAAAAAAAAAAAGAGTAGAAGAAGAGACTTGCATCTAGCTGGCTTCAGTGTAAGTCTTGGTGCAAGGCTCGTGCCTGGAAGGCCCATCCCTGCCTTTGCTGGGATGGCTTGGCCGTTCTTCAAAGTCCAGCTGAAGTGCCACCGGGAAGTCCTCCCTGAGAGCAGCTCTCCAGTCTCATAGGGAGACCTATTACCATATAGCAGGCTAAAGGCCATTATTCAAACACAGCCATGACGAACTCTGCCCCAGGAAGTTGGGAAATGCCTCACAGAGGATCTGATCTCTGGCAGGTCTTTCCAGAAGCTCAGAAACACACACAGTGGAAAAGTGGGGGAAAGAGCGTTGCAGCGGAAGGAACAGCAGGTGCAAGAAGGCATGAAAGGGGCTAGTGCAGTCCGGGCAGACCAGAGAGTTGCCCTGTTTTTGCTGGGTTCGCAGACCAAGTGGCCATGGACAGGGAGGCTGCGTGGCTCCTTCTCACGGCTAGGGGAATTGGAACTCCATGCAGCAGGAAAATAGGGCGTGGGCCCCACCCCTTCCCCAGAAGGTGTCGGAAGCATGGAACCCCCACTCCTCTGCACCCTGGGGCCTGCAATCTCGCCTCCCAGCCTTCTTGTGTTCCTTCCCAGTCAGGAAGAAGTTGTCTCCTGGTTGACCTGGGTGGTGGTCCCATTGGTGTTTTCCTCCTTGTTAGAATCTTAATATTGGATGAATCCCAAGGCCCAGCTGCCCTGGCATGGCGGCCAGGGTCAGAGGTGTGAATTAAAACAACACATGACCCTGACTGTCTTGGTCAGGGGCTGCTGGGGTCAACTGCAGAGGTTGCTCGCCTTTGTCGCTGATAATGAGAGCACTTCTGAGGCTGTTGCCCTCACGCTCATTCCTTAGACAGCCTTAAGCCCCTCACCCACATCATCCCATAATGATAGTGTGAAGAGCCACCTCCTCGCGAGCACTTTAACGAGTACAATTTCATTTAATCACTAGACGACTTTATGATGTAGGGCTAAGGGACATACCTGAGACCTCACAGCATGTCGTGACAAAGCCAGAATCTGAGGCCCAGTCTCTGGGACTTCAGAAAGCCCAAGCAGCTCTGTGTAATGCCACCTCAGTCATGAGGAATGGCCCTGGCTGGAGGAGGCTGGACAGCTTGGTCCTCTGCCCTAAGAGGCCCAGATCTCCCCTCGCTTCAGGGCAAGGCTCCCACCCATTCCGATAGTCGTCACATCTTTACTGCATGCCTACTGGGTGCAAGGTGTGGGTGCGGGGACCTGGGGGAGACACAAAGACGCAGAGACCCAGTTACCATGCGGCTCACCACCCAGGGGGACCCACAAGGACCCCTATTCCACCATCACCCAAAACTTTCCCATCTTAATGGGACCTGTGCAGCCTTCCCAATGCTCTGGCCAACGCATTTCTCCTTCTAACCTTCTATAGGGCCCATTACCCAAACCACCCAACCTTTGCTTTTGTTCTGCTTTCTTTCACTCAGGAGTCATTTGCATGTCATTTGCATGTGGAAGGCACTGGGGATACATTAATAAGACGAATTAATAAGACATGGTCTCTGCCCTCATGAAGCACAGTCTAAGAGTGGGAGACAAGCATGTCATCAATCCAGGGACTGAAGTGCCCGGGGACACCACTTCCTCACTCACCACCGCAAAGACACAGACTCAGTCTTACAAAGTGGCAGCATGATTAAGGGAGGGAGACTGGACCAAGATGAAAAGAACTGAGTCCCAAGCTGGTGCCACCCCCTGAGGGAACACTGGAGAAATTACTCAGTTTCTTCAGCTGTAAAGTGGGAATAACAATACTTAACCTGCCTACCTGATAAAATGTTAGCGATGTGCTTTGTTAAATGAAATTAAGTGCACGACAACCTTTCACAGGTTACCGAGTATTCTACAACTAGTAGTTATCATTATGTTTATCTTCTGTCTCCTGGGATGCCTGCATAAATCTGGGCACAGAGTAGATATGCAGTAAATTTCAGTCAATTTAAATTGAATTGGTTCAGATACCCCCATTTACCACCCTCTGATAGTCCTGTGGGCTTTTGAGGCCATAGTCAACCTAATACTAATAATGCTTGACCTGCCTGCTGGGGGCTGGCTGTGAGGACCAAGTCAGGATGTGAAAGTGCCTTGGAAGCTATCAATATAGGGCTGTACTGACTCTTGGGAAAGCAATTTGGTCTCCCATCTTGGGGGGAGGTTGCACTGAGGGCCTGATGGTCCTGTGGAGCCACAGACATGGGGCAGCCTCCCCCAAGCCCTAGTCCCATTGCTTTTGGGAAACAAAAATTGTACTTTCCCCAATTAGGCTCCCAAACCGCTGGGCTGCCTGGGCCAAGATAGCGCCTGTGACGTAGGCATGGTCTCTAGAGGGACCAGGCCACCATGTGCCCACCCCGCATTAGCCCTTCACCTCTCATTTCAGCACCCCTACCCCACGGAGGATGAGAAGAGGCAGATCGCAGCCCAGACAAACCTCACCCTCCTGCAAGTAAATAACTGGTGAGTTATCACCCGCCCAAAGGCTCTCAGATCCGGGGGCCACTTGCTTGACAAGGGAATGCATAGCAGGGAACAGAGACAGCTCAGCCCAGCCCAGCTACCACAGCAGTCCTCCCCTTTGGGCTAGAAGCAGAAAGCTAGAATCAGCCCAACTGCCTAGAGCTTCATCTGCAGCTTCTCAGTGCCCTCTGCTGGGAGATTGTGTCAGGAACATCACTGGAAGCTTCCTGCTGAATAGAAAGCCCAGCCCTGCCTGCACTGCAGACACACACAGGAGGAATGCAGGCGTCCAAGTTCTGGAGGAGCCGCCAGTGGTCATCTGGTCTACCCAGCACCTCTGTGAACTGAAAAACTGTAACATTCTGCAAAGCTGGGGTGGGAAGGAGGAGGGAGAGTTGGCTGTTCTGACTTCACAGGCATCTGTTTTCCCCTTCTCTGTGTCTGGCTGGGTTGTCACAGAAATCTCAGAGAGCAAGGTCTGGTTGGGTGGAGGTAGACCCAAGATTTGGAGTCCCTGATCTGAGCCCTGGGCCCTGGAGAAAAGTCAGGGTTTAGTGCTTCTAAGGGGACCCCTACTTCCTCTGTTCAATCCTGATGAGTCCTGAGTAGAGATTTCTGACCCTCCTCATGCATCCTTCCCATGTTGCTTTGTGGTTACCAAGCTCCAGGTGATTCCATGAGCCCTGCAGTGCCCAGGGCTCTTCTCCCAGCTAGGCTTTCACACCCTAGATGAGCCCCCAGTCTGTTCTGTACAGTGGATCAGCCTATGAGAGTCTGGAAGAGGCTCTCACTCCCTGTACGCGCACGCGCACACACACATGCACATGCACACACACACACAAACCCCACAACCCCGGGGGTGGGGGGTGACTAACCAGGTCTCTACCTTTACCCCTGGGCAGGTTCATCAATGCCCGGAGGCGCATCCTGCAGCCCATGCTTGATGCCAGCAACCCAGACCCTGCCCCTAAAGCCAAGAAGATCAAGTCGCAGCACCGACCCACCCAAAGATTCTGGCCCAACTCCATTGCTGCAGGAGTGCTGCAACAGCAGGGCGGAGCCCCGGGAACAAACCCTGACGGTAAGAACCGGGCGTGGTGTGCTCTAGCCTGGGGCTGGTGGGTGGACCTCCTGGACAGGTTCTGCAGAGATGCAAGCGCTGGCCATCCCCTTGCCTGCATGGCAGCAACAGCATGGTCACAATAGTGATCTCCATCGAAGGGTGTGCGCAGGCCTGAAAGAGGGGGATGTTTCTGCATATATTTTCACAAACCAAAAAGCAACCTCACAAAGACGAGTGGGAGTCCATGGTCATCTGAGTCAATGACTGCTCAGCAGAGCCCCCTCCTCACTCCCACACCCTCCCGAAGTTCTGTCGCGCCCATGAGTGTCTGCACGGCTCCCCAAGAGCCAGGGCCATCTATAAATACCGAAGCAGGCAGCTGGCTTGTGAACGGAGGCCAGGAAGAGCTTTGTTTTCCCAGCTTCTCCATCACATCCTCCATATACACTTTTCTAATTGCCGGTCGCCTGGTGCACAATGAATAATTCAATGAGCCAGACATTTTATAGCTTGGCACGTGAAGATAGCTCTGTGTGGGAAGTGGAGTGGAGGTATGTGTGTGCATGTACATACCTTCGTGTGCATCTCTATGGTTGCGTTCAGGTTCCTCTGTGCTGGACAATTGCCATGTCAGGTGTAGCGGAAATACACAGATTTTGAGCTAGACGGACCAAGGGGAGAATCCCAACTCCATCATGCCTGACCGTCACCTTGAGCTAATGCCTTAACCATCTGAGACTCAGTTTCCTCCTCTTTAGAATGGGGATAATAAGACCTACTGTACAGAATTGTTAGAAAGTCAAAGTATTTAACATACTTACATAGAAGATGCTCAGTGAACGGTAACTAGGAGCGCTGCTGCTTGGGATGGGGCAGGGAGGGGCTGACAAACGCATGGGCCAGGGCACTTCACACCTGGGAACTGTCGACCACTCCATGAGCCAGTCTCTGTCACTCTATCCAACACTGAGGTTCCTGGGCCTGACCCTTGTCTTCTCCTCTCGCGTAGGTTCCATCAGCTTGGACAACCTGCAGTCCCTGTCCTCAGACAATGCCACAATGGCCATGCAACAGGCCATGATGGCTGCACACGATGACTCATTGGATGGGACAGAAGAAGAGGATGAGGATGAGATGGAAGAGGAGGAGGAAGAGGAGCTGGAGGAGGAGGCCGACGAGCTTCAGACGACAAATGTCAGCGACCTGGGCTTGGAACACAGTGACTCCCTGGAATAGTTGGCAGCCCAGATGGCACTGGTCACCGAGCAGGAGAGGAGTGTCGTCAGGAAGGCTCCAGGGTGGGAGGGAGGGGGGCACCACAGGCAGCACCGAGGAAGTTGGCCCTAGCTTCCCCAAATCAGTAGCTTGAAGAAATGCAGAGGAGACACCTGCTCCGTCCCAACTACCAAGCTTCAATGAGCACCCCAGCCCCACTTCCCTGAACTGCAGAGGACTCCGTTTGTGGGGCCGGTCAAGCAGCCTACACGGAACGGCAGGAGTGAGAGCTGGACTCACCAAATCCCTAAGGACAGATGGCACCCATGCCCCGCTCCCCACTGAAGGACTTGAGTTGTTTACAAGCCCTGTACTGTGAGGCGGATCGGTGCTGTTCAGAGTGAGCCTTGCCAGGGACAGAGTTAGGAGGAAAGGGAGAGTCAAGGGGGTCTGGGTTCCACCCCTGTGAGGTTCTCAGCTCCTTGACAGACATTCAAGGGCAGGAGGAGCCCAGACGCATCACCAGTGGCTAGCAGAGTGGGAGGCCCTGAGGCGCAACATCCTACATATCGGAGCGGGACCTGGGCTCCCGAAGGCTCCAGCTCATTCCTCCAAGAACCTGTCTCAGGCATGGGCAACCGTGGACTTGGGAGAGAGGGCAGGAGCCACCACAGACACCTTCTCTCTCTCTCCCCCCCTAGAATGAATGGTAAGCTGGCAGGCTCGGATTGTAGGGGCTTAAGAGGAATCCCTTCCCCCGGGTTGGCTCCAGGACCCAAGGAGATGGCAGAACCTGAGCTAGGAGCCATATCAAGATGACTTTGGGGACCACAGCCATCCCTAGGTGGTCACAGAACTCAGCTCCTGTAACAACAGGGCAGTGGTGTCTTATCCCAGATGTTCCAGCCCTCAGATGGAGCTCCTCAGATGTCCCGGCCCTCAGCCCCCCATGGCTGTCCCCTTGCTCCCAGGCTGGCTCCACCAGCCCCCATTTTGCTCTCTTCTTCATTCTATCCTTCAGAGAAGGCAGAAGAAACATTGGAAAAGAAACATCCAGTCCAGTGGGAAGCCAGGGGTTGGAGAAGGTGCTACATCCCTCTTCCCATCAATATCCGAAGTGTGGGCGAGGCCCAGAGAAATGGTGCCCCAGCGCTAAGTGGTGCCCCACCCCCACACCTGGTTGATCTACCCACCACCATGACACACAGCACTGGAGGAACTGGGGCTCCCTCGAGGAGGAGGCTTTCCATCACCTGCCCTAACTCACACCCTCCCACCCCAACTTCCAGGCCCCCATGATTGGCACCCCCTCCTCCCCTCTTCTCCCACCCCTTGGCTGTGAATGACAGGACTGATCACACGTGTGTTTTCCATTGGATTTTAATTTAATGGACTTGCCGTTTCATTTGTAAATTGTGCATTGGCCATCTCCTTCAGTGGCAGGATGCGAGTGGCTACCTGGCTCAACCTGAGGGGACCCTCAGGGCCCTCTGGGGCTTCCCCTCCCCCACCTGGTTGGGGTGGAGCAAAAAGATGGTCGCTTTCCTGAGGTCTCCCTGAAATGAATGTATTTCTCCCCCAAAAGAGCTGATATTTAATGTTTTAATAGGGATTTTTGAGAAACAAATAACCTTATTTATAATCTGGGTGATCCAATCATTTTTTACTCCCTTTTGATGCCATAAGTAGAGGAAAGTCTAGCTTTTTTGGCGTGAGACTTTTGCAATGTGCAGTGGGATAAAATACATTTCCTTTTCTGGTTCGTCTTTCTTGTTCTCTCTCTCTCTCTCCCTCACACATCACACACACACACACACAAACACACACCCTTTCACCTACCACTTTGGACGGCAATCCACCCAGCACAGGCAAACGGCACACAGGCCCACACATCCTCCTCCCAGCCCCTCCACCTGCCTAATGTTATGCAACCTCCCTCTGATGTATCCATCAAACCAGTACCGAATGTGGCCGAGAAGTTTTCAGTAAATCTTATTACCTACCATAATTCTGGTGCGCAATTCTTTTTCCGTGGTTAGTGGTTAGTGGGACCCTGGACCGGAGAAAATTTGGAGGCCTCAGCCTACCTCTTGTTGAACTAAATACCTATGGAAGGGAACAAGGTAGAAGGCTCTCTGAGTGACCTCAGTTTACCTGTCTGGGCAAAAAGACAGCCACGCTTGGCACACTCACTGCATACGTGTCCGGCTCAAAGACAAAGAGAGAAGAGAGAGAAGACCGGAGGACGCTCTGCACTGCCCTCTCCTGGCAATTCTCCCCCATAGCAGCCGCGCGCTCAGAATGCGGTCCCTTCCTGCACCATACCCTACCTCCCTCAAAGGCCTTTGTTTTTCCCCGAGGCATCCTAGGCTCCAAGGGTTTTCATCCTCAAAGCTGGTGGCACCACTGCCCCTCCCCCAGTTCTCCCAGGTCCACCCAGGGCCCAGGAATTGGAAAGGAGAGGAAGTCTTGACTGTCACTTTTAATCCTAGAGCTGTGTCCAGAGAGGAGCCTGCCCTCTGAACCCCAGGGCTCAGCACTGTATCCCCCAGGGGCAAGTGGAAACTTAGGCACAGCTCCTAACCCCAAGTAAGCAAGCTTTCTTGTTACTTTCAGCCCAGAGTTTTCCTTATCTGGGCACTGTTGGTGCGATGTCCAGGGTATCGGTTTAGGAGCAAGAGGGGCCATCCCTTGTTCACATTCACAAAGGCTGGGGAGTCTGCACTTACCTGTGGACACCCTCCAGCCAGGCTGAAGGTGGGGAAGGGAGTGCTCACATGGGCAAAATGGGCCTGCACGCAGCCCTGTGCTCCCTAGGTCACCGCTCTCAAAGACCCCAAGCCTCCCGTCATACCGAGAGAGCCTGCAAACACAGACCCCCACCGCTAGGCAGTAAGAAAGTCTCAAGACCCGCAAGAAGAGGGTACCTTAGAGCCCCATCTCCCAGAGCTGGGAAACCAGCAGACTTTCAAAGAAGTGTTTTCCAAGGAAGACACTGTTAAAAGACATGCCATCAAAAAAAAAAAAAAAAAACAAACACAAAAATACAAAAAATCTGTGGCCAGATTAATCTAGGATGAACTGCATATTCTATTTTGCTGGTGGGGTTCCATAAGGCACACCAGCATAGTAAAGGCTCTGAGGAGTCCTGCAGGAAGAAACCTGTTTATTCTGTTCTCCAGATTTATTTGCCTTTTTTTTCAAGTAATATCTATTCGAGTTTTACTGGTATTCCACAAAATACAGTCTACGCAACACTCCTCTAAGAAATTACAGAGTAGCTGCTGCAGCCTCTCTCACCCCTTCCTCAGTTTTTCCATCAAGTTCTGGCAGCTTTTCAACCATGCTACCAATGAAAAGGGGGTTTCCCAAACCATTTGCGATGTGGCAGCCACCTCTCTCTCCGTGCACGACCAAGTCCTACCCAACCCACGGAAAAGATGTGCCACAGTCCCTGTGGAAGTACGAGAAAAGGGACAACGCAGGAGGGGACTGGGTGCTGGTGTCAGGACCCTGGAAACCGGGCCGGCAGACTTCTGGCCCCAACCCCTACCCCAGCAGGGCAGACCTTTCAGGTTGGAAGCTTCCTGCTCCTGGGAGCTGATGGCCAGAGCAAGAGCTATACTGTCTTGACCAAGAGATCCCTCTGCTACCTTGAACACAGCCAGATGAGGGCAATGGTTCTGTCACACTCACTCATTCACCCGACGTGTATTTACTGAGCACCGACTCGGTCTCAGGCAGTTTCCGATACAGAGGATACAACTGTGATCAACAAAGACAAAGTTCTTGCCTTCAGGGAGTTTGCACATCCTAGGAAAACACTGAGACGGAATGTGTGTTGGTAACATCCCCCTACTGGTTAAAATATGACCTCATCCTGGTCCAGTGAGCTCAAACGTGATCGTTCAGAGTTGCAAACAAGACTCTCAGGTCCAATGTGGCGTTCGGATCAAATACAGCTCCCAGAGATGTTCTGTTTGGACCAATATTGTTTCTAAAAATTTTTGTGCCAACATTTAAAAGATAGAGAACTGCGACTCAGGACCTATATTCCTACACAGACACATCAGGGTGTAATCGAATCATTGCTACCCCTTATGATGTGCTCTCCAGGCTGTCACGACATTGGCCATGCACGTGGTCTCCCCAACATTGACACTGAGTGCCACTTGCCACGTTCAGGTCAGGTCATCACTGCTTGGTTGCTCATTGGTTAATTATGCTCCCCACTCCCTTTTATTTTTTTCCTTTTTTTTTTTTTTGACATTCCTTCCAATATCTGCATTCTTGCTTTTAAGAAAGGAACTATTTCTCCATACCCACTGCTCCATCAAGTGTGATAAAACAAAACAGTCCAAGAGGCTCTGCCTTTGAAAAAAAAAAAAATCCGAGAGAACGTATCTGTGGAAGTGAAGATATTCCTACCTTTCACTGCAAAGTATGCCTGTGTCCCGCATCAGACATCTTCACTCTTGTTACCTGCCTACCTGCCCTCTACAGGCAAACGTTAACCCTGGGGCATAAAACCTGCCAGCGTTGCTTGTTATATGCAGATTCGATCGCGTGACCAACTTTTTCCCAGACTCCAAGGCGAGATGCCTAAGGACTTTGAGAAACACTACTCTCAGAAAATAGTTTTTGGAGCACCTGTGTGGCTCAGTCGGTTAAGCAGCGGACCCTCAGTTTCGGCTCAGGTCATGATCTCAGGGTCGTGAGATCCAGCTCTGCCATGGGCTCTGTGCTGGGTGTGGAACCTGTTTAAGATTCTCTCTCCCTCCCTCTGCCTCTTCCTCCCCCCGCCCCCGCCCACCCCTCCGCCCTCTCCTCTCAAAAAAAGAAAGAAATAGTTTTATGTTGCCTTTTAGAAGTTACTTGTTTATAGCTGCTCCCTTTAACTTCCTTTCGCTATATAGACTGCAGCCCCATTATTCAGCCAGTGAGATTCGCAGATGTCTACTAGGTATCTGGCATCATACAGGGGACAGAGGGCAATTCAACTTTGCAGAGCCTCACGGGCAAGGGATCGAGCAGGACTGGCAGAGAGAATGCCGATCGATCGCGTCATACTCTGTGCATTTCCACTCTGACATCTTATTTCCATCCCACAGATGAGGCAGATTTTACTATACCACTTTCAAGTGTACATATCTTATAGTTTTATATTTCTCAGCCTCTCCTGGGCCAATCTCATTTAGCCCCCTTGCAAATTAAATGCATCTCATTAAAGCGAACCCATTTAGGGCAATGCCCTTCAGGTGTGTGCATCTTTGTACATCTTTCATTTTAAGACAAGTGTTTGATTTATTTTTCATCTCATTACACTCTTTAAAATTATGTGCATCTCATTACACTCAGCGCGGTGAGACGACTTATTTCAGGTGTAGACATTACACCCAGTATTATCAGGCAAGAATATTTTTTTCATTTCATTACAAGCCTTACAATTTATGTACATCTCATTACAATCAGCCATTTAAGACAATTCCCTTCAGTTGTGTATATCTCATTATACCTTTTCATTTTCAGATTTTTTTTTCATCTTATTACACCCAAGCATTATTCAGAGAACTCACGTCAGGTGTGCATATCTCACATTCACCTGTTATTTTGTGAATTTCAGGGTGGTGGTTTCTCCCACAGCATTGCAAAATTTTCATTACATGGAACTCATTTAAGGCTGGCTCCGCCCCCCCATGGGCCTCCCATGCTCCTTTGCAGGGAGAGGAAGAGCCCTGGGTTCTCCAGGATTCGGTCAAGACTCTGCTAAGAGCTTCTCCTGAGACATACACGGACCATCTAAGTTAACTTCCTCACTTGCACATTGAGGGGTTAGAGGAGATGGTCGCTAAGCTCCCGTCAGTTGATGCTCCATGAAACTAGTCCTGCGGATGATGACGTGGGTCCCCAGCTTCTCCTGGGGGGTACTGCTCCACTCTCTGGACAGCCCGCCACCCCTGCTGGAGACATCACTGTCCAGGCTTTCAGAAGCCAGGGGGCTTCACGCTTCTGCTGCCCTCTGACGGGGTCTCACTGTGTATCCACGCAGGGTCACATTTTGGAAGGAGATGGAATAAGTTGGCTCTCGTGTTGGAATCTCCCAGCACCTCGGGGCCAGAGGCATCCTTGCCTCTCGTGCAGCCCCACCCAGGAGCTCTGGGCCCAGAGCACCTGGAATTGCTGGGCGGCCATCTGGAGCTGCAAGCGCCCAAGTTCTGTTCTCTGCTAAATCAGAGGCTCCCGGGCTGGGACCAAGGTAGGTGCATTGTAGACAGCACCCCAGCGATTCTGAACCCCTGCCTCACCCAGGCCCGATTTCAGAAAAGGGTCTGAGGTAGCAGGTGCCCTGAGCAGAAAATGCCTGATGCTCTGAGTATTGCCCCTCCCAGGGGTGTTTGTCTACAGCAGGAATCCAAGAAGAGAGGCAAAAAAAATCATTTCTTAGCCCGGAGAGGGTCAGGAAACCCAACCTGCTCGACCCATATAGGAACACACACACCGTATATTGTCATCTGCCTTTACCGTCCACCCCCAGCCTTCAGGTGCCCCATGCCTCCCAGGCGGAAAGGCTACATGGTACACAGAGCCACTCAATCCCTCCGCCTTCCACCAGGTTCCCAGATCTGCCTTCCAGAGACAGCCCAAAGAAGCAGAACCTCTCCAGACTGGTTAAATGTGGTCTTCAAGGCTTAGTGAATATGTGGGGAGCAGCATTTTAGGAGACCTGCAATGCCTTTCTCGAACCTCTTGAACTAGTCCTCACGTTCCCACCTGTCTGGCCTAATCATAAGGCACGTGAGGCTTCTCTGGGTCTGGGGTGGTCTGTGTGTTTCCTCTTCTGTCGCTCTACTTGCCTCCTTAGCAGTGAAAATAGAATCTTTTCGCTAAGTGCAGAAATACATGGGACTTTTCACCCTCCCTCCTGCACCACTCCCCTTGAATGAACCTGCTGAGAAATCAGAATATGACCCAGCTCCTGCCTCTGCTTTGTCTCCTTGTCCAGGAGTGCCCGGAGGCCACAGGCTGTAGAACCAGCAGGCGCTGTACTCGCTGGGCCACCAGAAAGCAGGATTTAGTGAGGATAGAGGGTAGGGGCTAAGGCTGAGTTTAGGGGAATAGCCCACTCCTTCTCTTGTTTTGTTTTCAGGTCCTCTGAGCCTACGGGATTGAAAACATGATCAGGTCCCCAACAATAGAAAGGCCACAGCACCCGGCCCTTTCTCTATGTTCCTCGAAGCTTACTAGTAAAAAGTACAATTTATGGAACGTTTCGCAGATATGCGAGACACTGTATTCAGAATAACCCTGGGACAATTACTGATATTAGTATTCCCATTTTTAAAATGAGGAAACTGGGGCTCAGAGAAATTATTGTCTCAAAAATGATTTAGCTAACATGGGGGCTAACCGGGTGGTGCAGTCATCTGAGCGTCCGACCCTTGGTTTCGGCTCCGATCACGATCTCGGGCTCGTGGGATCGAGCCCCACTTTGGGCTCCATGCTCAGTGTGGAGTCCGCTTCTCTCCCTCTCTCTCTGCCCCTCCCCCTGCTCTCGCTCCTGCTCTCTTTCTCTTTCAAATAAACAAATAAATCTTTTTTAAAAAATTATTTAGCTAACACGTAGTGGAGCTGGGATTTGAACCCAAGGCCAAAACCCATGCTCCTCCTATGAGGTAATTTGTCTCCCTAAGCCCCAGTGTGACCAGGGCCGGCCTTCAGGGTCAGAGGCAGAGGCCCTCCTCTTCCCTGCAATCTCAGACATGCCTGCATCCTTGCACCTGCCTTCCATTCTCTCCTCTGAGGACCCCACATGCAACAGCATTCAAAGATGTGGGATCCAAACCTTAGCCTGCTTCCCCTGACCCAGCAGAGCACCTACCCCATAGCCCACCAGCTCCTCACTTGAGCGACTACATCTGGGGGAGGAGCGGGGGGTGGGGGAGGGACCGGACCTCTGCACACTTTCCTAGGAGCTGTGCTTCGGGAGGGGGGCCCCAGAGCTCATCTTAGAGAAGAGGCTGCTGTTGACCATCCACATACTGGGATAAAGAAGTGGGCAACAGCAAGGCCAATTGGCCTGTGGCTAACGGCTGCTTGGGTGTGTTGTAGAGACCGCGGCGTGAGGTCGGGAACCACTGAGGCCCTGCGATCTGTCGGTGATGACAGCTGACATCCAAGCCTCCTCTCCTACCCGTGAGGTGACTCCTTCCCTCCCATTCAGAGGACAAGGCTAGGCTCTTGGGCTCTTAGGCTTGACTGCTGAGAGTAAGGGCAAAAGCAGGTTGGAAGGGAGATGGCAGAGAATGTGTCCCCAGACAGAGCGGACGGGCCGGCAGCTGGGGGGCACTGTCAGACCGGGCAACCCTCCACAGGGAGAACACTGTTGGAGGAGGGGAGGAGAGGATGGGGTAGAAACGCTCCGGACTGGAGCCCAGACCCCCGCTCTTCCTCTAACTTGCTTCTGCGGTCTGCTGCTGTCAGGCAGGTTGTAGGGTGGAAGAGAGAATGAGGAGGGGGACATAAGCTTAGGGGCAAGAGCCAGAGAGAGGGAGGGAGAGAGGAACTAGATGTGCATGTGTCTCTGGGGTTTTTCAGACAAAGCTATTATCAAAATGCCAACCAGCTCCTGCCTGGCCAATTTGCATACTCCATGCTGTGCTCGCTGAAGCAGGATGAATATGCATGAGGGCTTGGGCGGGGTGTGGAGCTGCTGGGCTGTGGGCTAAGGTGGCTCATTGTTCTTTTAACAGAAAGGCATTGATACAAAGCCAAGGCACCTTTCTGGTCAGCAGAGGGGCCTCTGCTTCCCGTCCCTTCGCGAGGGAGGAGGAGAGCGAAGCTGAGGCTCAGACAGAAGGCCTGGAGACTATCCTCTCATCCTCTCAAGGAAATAAATAATCAGGCGCCATCAAGAACGCAAGTCTCTTCTCCAAGAGCAGCATTTAATTACTCTGCCCTCCACGCATGCTAATCACGGAGGCTGGCTCGGTGATGGGACTCACCTCTCCCTATTTTGTGCTCCTGCTGCAAGGCAGGCTGGGCGCCCCGGGGTGCTCCGTGCTCTTGGGCCTTTGGTGAGACCCCCGATGCCACAGTGCCTGGGTGAGGTGGGAGGCAGGACACTGCAGGTGCTTGGAGCAGGCACGGAAGGACTGGGTGCTCATCGGAACCTGATTTATGGTTCCTTCTGAGACACCTGCAGGATGCACCTCCTCACTGACCATCCACATCTCTTCTTCCCTAGCCACCAGCTAGACAAAGTCGTCCTCCAGACCGTCCAGCAGGCACGAAAAAGCTCTCTTTAATTTTTCAAAGCCAATTTGTCCCACAAACGTTGGGGCCACAACACTCTTTCCTGTTAGCTTTTCCTGCTGAGTTTTCACACCTGTCTCCCTCCTGAAAGAGAGATGAGGCCAGGGAATGTTTGGAAAACGGCTTGTCCCCCTGGTTGTTTGTTTCAACCGCATGTAAACGAAGGCTGGTGTCCGGCTCTACCGTGGAGTTTCCTTACCCAGACTTGATCACGTGACACTTGGCAAAAGCCACACTGGGGGCCTTTACCACGTCCCTCAAAGCCCACCTGCTACCTACTGAGGAGGCTGCCCGCAGACCCGGGCTCCCCGGTACCCTCGCCGTGTGCGGCCAGCCAAGACTGGACTTGAGTTTGTCCACAAGGGCCACCCGCAGTCTGAAGCGTCAGTCCCCCTTGGGGCGCCTCCCCCGTGCTTCTGTAACCAGAAGGATGAGCAGAGGGGAATGCTGGGGGCGGGGAATCGCGTTCACCTGAGCACCACACTTCGCACTCAGGTTCAGCCTCCATGCAAAGCTTCTCCAAACCTTAACGCAAATACCGATTGCCTGGAGAGCTTGTTAAAATGCAGATTCTGATGTGGGAGGTCTGGGCCGCGGCGTTTTCTCACAGTCAGCTCCCCACGCTGAGGAGCAAGGATAGAGGGAAGGACATGCACAACCATGACAATCAGACCGAACATTCCCCGCTAAGACTGCTGATGGGGACAAAAGGCAAGACAAGAGGAACCACTGTCCCCACCTTTGCCCGCTCACCTCCTCTAGCTTGAGTGTATCCCTGACACTTGAGATTTATTTTTAACTGCCAGCAACTTTGATTAGCTTGTCTCTGCTGCCTCAGACACCTGCTGGCAGGATACACTGGGGGAAGGAATGGCTGACCCAGATCTGACAAATGCAAGGCAGGAAGAAAAGCTCTGGAGGATTCTCTGCTTCCTTTTTGCTGAGACGGGTGAAAAACCCCACAGCCGGCAAATGACCTGGCGCCCCCAGTGACCCTTTGCATCCTTAACCACAGTGCCAATGAATGCAGAACTGAAGTCCTCTCCTTCTGTCAAAGCCCTGGGACTCGTCCGTGTTGGCCCCTAAGGATCTGCATGGGTGCCTGTGGTTGCTTGGATTCTCCCATAGCAGCCAGGGCTCTACCCGTGTTGACATTCTGCTCCCGGTGCATGCCTGAGCTAGAGCTGCAGGCCCCGGAGCAGCTTCCCTGGAGGACTAGGGCCCCCTCACCCCAAGCTAAGACGGCTGCTGCTCGGCGGCCCTGCTCCCAGAAGAGCAGAGGCCCAAGAAGTGAGAGGCAGGGCACCAGGGATGCCTTCTACTGTCACCCACGTTGACCCACAGCCTCCCGCGGAGCTGCCGGTGTGCAAAAGTATGGCTTTCTGTTTGGCACGTTCGGTCAAAGCAAACGCCATACGAAGAGCGAGTGCAAGGGGGCAGTCTGACTCTACGCCTTCTGAACGTCACTGCTGGCTGCTCTCCTCTCCGTAAAACCTGGGCGACACCATTGCCTCCTCCCGATGGGACACTCGGTTATGACGTGATAGGGTCAGCGGCAGGCACATGGCAAGGGCTCTATAAAGGTTTTTGTTTGAAGATGGGGCTGTGGAGGGGCGCCTGGGTGGTTCAGTCGGTTAAGCGTCTGCCTTCAGTTCAGGTCATGGTCCCAGGGTCCCGGGATCAAGCCCCGCATCGGGCTCCTTGCTCAGTGGGGAGCCTGCTTCTCCCTCTGCCTTTCCCCTTGCTCGTTCTCTCTCTCTCTGTCAAATAAATAAATAAAATCTTAAAAAAAAAAAAAAAGATGGGGTTGTGGGAATTCATGGGGCTTTTGTCATTCAAGCCAGAAGATGGAAGCCAAGCGAGTTCCGAGCTCCGGCTATGTTGAAATCAAGGCAGCATCCAGGTGTGAGGACAACAGTCACCTGCTGGTCCCGGGAGCAGCAAAGCACCCAGGAGTCGGACCTCTGGGGCTGCCAGAAGGGCAGGGGAGGGAGCGCACGGCCACAGGACACCATTCCCCAAGGTCACTGGGGCGTTGGGGCAATGGCCGCGATCCCCCAAGCTGGGCTTGCTAGCAGAGCTGACTCCCTCCAGCCCCCGAGCCTTGGGGTCCCCGTGGAGGGTCTGGCAAGGGCCAATGTGGCCATCTCAGCGGGAGCACGGGCTGCACCTCGAGACTCACTTCTCTGCTAACTTCCCCCTCCCCCGCTGGTCTGACACCCCCCATCAGTAGTTCCTAGAACACATTGCGCAGCTCCCTTTACAGTTGCCAAGCAGCGAGATCTTGGGGGTCTGTGGATGGCCTGCTCCTTCTGACTGTGCCCCGTGCAGCGCCCCCACGGCCCACGGCGGGGGGCCCACGCTCGGGTCCCTCCACGCCCGGCCATCTGCCGTAGGCCCCGGGACGTCTCACAAAGGCAGCTCCGCAGCCTTTCTCTCTCCAGGTATGACAGACCACACTCTGGGGCACATGAAGAATATTAATTAAATGAAGGTTTATTTCAAAATTAGTCTTAGAGGGTAAGCTGTTTTCGAGGGCTGGAGCCAGGCTACATCGTGAGCGGTGAGAGCGCCTGCCTTCCCGCCTCCCCCCCGGCGGGGCCGAGAGGCGCCTCACCAGCCCTGCCCCTCAGTCATGCATCCAATGATCACTAGGACTAGAAGCCAACAGCAAAGGACCCCGCGCGCTTGCTCATGTTTAATCCAGGTTAAGCTATACACGTTTAAATACACGTCGGAGGTTACGTGGTGTCATGCAGTCCCTGGGATGGAATGACTCTTGCTCTGTGACCTCCGCGGCAAGACTGGCCCTGAGGGCAAGGTTAGGTGGGGCAGAGCACTGCAAAGAAAAGGCGAGAGGAGAGAGGTCAAAGCACAGCGTGGGTCAGGACCTGCCAGCCCAGGGTGGCCCCGGCCGAGAGGCGGTCCTATCCCGAGCAGAGAGCCGCCCCCCAGGACCCAGGAATAACTGCGTCTTCCTTCCGGAAGAAGGATGAGATGATGGGAGGTGGCCCGTCTGGTGCGCTGATTAGGTCTCGGATGCTTGTGTGCCTGGGTTCAAACCCTGGATCCGGCCTGTGCTAATTCTACGACCTTGGGGAAATCGCTCCACCTCTCTGCGCTCGCTCCTCCGTGTGTACAATAGACGGTGCTTCTGCCTACCCCACAGGGTTGTTCAGAAGCAAATAGAAAGCGCTCAGTAAATGTTAACTAGTTTTATGAATTCACTGACATTTCCGTGGATCACGGTGGGAAAAGGGGTCCAGCCCTCAGGCTCCCAGACTTACCGAACCCATTTCCACAGACCTCCTTTGAGAAATTGGCTTTGAAAGCCTTTAAGAGGCAGAAGTTCTTCCCTATGTTTAGCCTGAAGTCCTCCTGCTGGAATTTAAGACTAATCTTTCTGATCCTTATGGAAACAATACCACCCAGAGGTTCTTAACCGAGATCCACAAGCCTACTGGAACTGCACCCAACGTCGTGTGTGCATGTGGGCCAAAGCTGAATGAAATTGAGAATCCAGACAATGGATGACCAGCAGTGGATATTGTTATGGCCTGAATGTCCGGGGCACCCCATGTGCAGCTGTATTTGGAAATGGAGCCTCTAAGGAGGTAAGGTTAAATGAGTCATAGCATGGGGCTCTGCTCTGATAGAATTAGTGTCCTTATAAGAGGAGACACCAGAGAGCCCTAGCATTCTCTCCCTTCACGTGCACACAGGAGAGGGAGGCCACGTGAGGACACAGCAAGAAGGTGGCTGTCTACAAGCCAAGAAGAGAGCCCTTGCTAGGAACTGGATTTGGTGGCATCTTGATCATGGACTTCTAGCCTCTGAAACTGTGAGAAAATACCTTTCTGTTGTTGAAGCCCCTCCCCTCCCCGCCCACCACCCCGGTATTTTGTTGTAGCAGCCTGAGCAGACTAATACAGATATTGACGTCACAAAAAGAAAGACAACCAGAGAATATGTGTCTCTTAATGGAAGTTTAGCACCACTGATCGTGTAATGTTTATCAAAAGATTTGAGAATGAGTCTGATCCAGCCTCTAGCTCTGCCAGCTAACAAGAAATACAAAAAATGGAAGAACAGGGGCGCCTGGGTGGCTCAGTCATTAAGCGTCTGCCTTCGGCTCAGGTCATGATCCCAGGGTCCTGGGATCGAGCCCCACATCGGGCTCCCTGCTCCGC